TGGATGAAGATCAATTTTCTAAAAAAAGTGTTTTGTATTTGAGCCACTAGAGGGTGCTCACATGCAGGCAATCTGAAGCTGGCTCCACTGATGCTTCATGGCCCTGGGAGCTAGAAGTATTCAACTTCTGCTACCTAATTTTCTTTTCTTTTTTTTTTTTAAGAATTCTAAAATTTTGTTATTACCATTAGTTATTAATTTGACCAGAGAGAGAGAGTGAGAGTCCAGGACTCAAATCATGTTTTTTTTTTTTTAAAAGAATTCTAAAATTTTGTTATTACCATTAGGATTTAATTTGACCAGAGAGAGAGAGTGAGAGTCCAGGACTCAAATCATGGTCAGCCATCTGGAAGTCCAGAGCCTTAGCCACCGCGCTAGCTGCCAGCTGCTTAAATTTTAATTTGTGTGGGATGTTAAAAGACAGATTTTTTTTTTTTGAGAGAGGTTTTTGCCATAGGGCACGTGCGCTCGCCAGACAGACAGAGAGAGACAGAGAGAGAGAAAGCAAGAAATCACCCCCCAGGGGGGATGGCCACGCCGCAATCCCTTCTCTTCCATTCTCCTCTGGGGATCTTGGGCACACATGCACACGTGCCCGGTGTGAGTTTTAAGCCACTGGGTCTGGGGCTTGAACCGCGGTCGACTACGTGGGAGTCCAGCGACATAGCCATTACGCTAACTGCTGGTCCCAAAAGACAGATTCTGAGTCCCTGAGTCTGAAGCAGAACCTGCCACACCTTCAGTAGTAAGGTAATAGATGTCTTCTCTAACCCTGTTCTGTATTGATGGCAAAATTGAGACCCAGAGAGGGAAAATGGACTACCTTGGGAAGGCTTAAACTCCTTTCTTTGGGAAGGGAAGATCCCATGAAGGGAGCACCAAATGTACGACTTGTACCTCTTAACCTCTCACAAACATAAAATCCTGAGGCAAATGGTTCCAGGACTGACTTAGAGAACAGAGTGAAGTCATTGAGGCTCTAGGCTTTTTGTGTCTTTGCTTCATCATTCTCAGAGTGTCATTTGGTTTATTTCCTAATGGTCATAAGATGGCTGCCACAGCTCAAGGAATCACAGTATCATATAGCCACATTCAAAGACAGATAAAAAGAGGCCTAGCCTTATACCTTTCTTGAAATGAGAAGGAAACAGAAAGAAGCCCCCTCCCAATTTCCACTTAACTCAACAGAACCATATTACATGCCCATGGCTAAACAAGTGTCTAGCAAGGGGATTGGAACTTTATCTGGATTATCTCAGGCCAATCCCTTATGTCCCCCAGGGGTATGCTGTGCCATGTCTTAAGCAAAAGCAGTCTTCTTAGCAGAGAAAGGGAGTGGGGAGAGAAGGGAAAAGAAGGGGCAAGAAGATGCCTTTTGATTAACCCCATGCTGTCTATCCCAGGTACTTGTGTTTCTGCTATGTTTATTCACAAATTAAGGATCTTCAGGTTCTGTGTGCACAGAGGTTAGGGCCTTCAGTCAGAGGGCTGTGTTCTCAAGAGACGGAGTGGTTACTGATGAGATAGGAGCTGGACCCCACTTACAGGTACGTAGGGTAAGGGCCCCAAAGGAAGTCACTATGATTTTCTTTTTAATGAAGTCTCTGCGTTTTTCCTATATGGTCTGATTAATGTACAATATATACCCCTTTTATATGTCTCTTAAGAATTTATGGCTCCTTGCTAAAAGGCAGAAGCTAGCAATATTGAGCACACAGAGTAAAGGCTCAAGATGGAGTCATGGTGGCTAAGTTTTCACAGCCCAAAGCTGGCTGCACTGACACTCAAAATAACTGTAGCTAAGGGCAACGGTTTCTATTCAGTAACTGTATTTTGACAAGAACAGGGATGCTATGGTCTGCTGACCCCACAAAGACTTAAAAAGTAAATCACTCAGACTTCCATGTGACCATTTTCTAAAGCCCACTTCCTTCTCAGAAAGCCAACCCTTCACTCGGGCTGCTGGATAAAAACCCCTCACCGCCAACTCCTCTTCGGCAACCAGGACTCCTTCCACAACACTAGCTTTTTCTCCTTCCCTCATAAATTCCACTTTCCTCTCCTCTCTGTATCCATGTCTCTAATTCTTTCTGAGCATAGGACAAGAACAGACATGGAGTTTGGGTCTGACCACCTAATGATCCTGCCTCATCAACTCCACCAATAGCCCACCCTGTGCACACTGGAGTCATTGACTCATCAGTGAGCCGGCTAGAACCGAGATTGTGAGCATGCGTTTGCCAGGGCTGCCATGCACCCTAGTACTTTGGCTGCTAGATTGTCTTCTCCCTGTGTCTTCCCATGGTCTTTCTTTTGCTTGTGTGTGTCCAAATTTCCCCTTATAAGAACATTGGTTGTATTGGATTAGGGCCCATGCTAGTGACTTAATTTTAGCATAATTTTTTTTTTTTTTTTTGCTATAGGGTGGATGCATGCACTCGCTGGAGAGAGACAAAGTAATAAATCACCCCCAAGAGGGGATGGCCACGCTATAATCCCTCCTCCTTCATTCTCCTGCTAGACACGCGTGCATACACATACACACTCGTGAACACATGCATGCATGCCTGGCTTGGTTCTCAAGCCACTGGTTTGAGAGTCAAACTGAGGGGTGGACTAGGTGGGCCAGCCACCTTAACCTCCATGCCACCTGCTGGCCTGCACAATGATCTATTTGAAGATATTATCTTCAATCACATTCAGAGGTACTGTGGGTCAGGATTTTGCCATATCATTTTTTGGGGAGGGCATAATACTGCCCCTTAATGTGGTGAGCATCCTTGCCTTTAATAGGAATGTAACTGATGTTTCATCTGCAAGTCTGATGTGCTCCTTGGTTTAAAAGATACTTTTATCACATATCTAGTCCTAATTTTCAAAGAGCTATTTATCAGGAGTAAATCTCAGGTTCTAATGAATGCTTTTTTGCTACCTATTGACATATAATCATGTGCAGAATTTGTTTTTACTTATTTCTGTGATGTGCTGTGATTAATAAAATATTTCCTGTTATTAAAGTCACAAATTGACATCCAAAATATATAAATCCTAAAAATCAATAGAAAAAGGATTTTTAAATCTAGTATAAATTAGACAAGGGATATAAATAACTTGGTGAATGAGTTTTATTTCTGGCTCTAATGTGCAAAAAAAGTTTGAATCCGAAGCCATTTCTTGCTTTGTCATTAGCAGAATGACATCTGGTACCCGTATAAAGCAAAGTTTAAAAAAAGGGCCTTGGTGAAATTATTTGAGCTTTTGACACCTTTTGCACAGTGTAAGTGCAGTTTCCCTCTCTACATCAAGTTGAGTTTTACTCAAGTAAAAATTTAGTAAGAGGATGTAGGATACATTCAAAAAGAGTAAAAATTCAATGTGAAGTTAGACTTATAGTGCATCATAAAAGTGTCAAATACAAATAATATTCTCTTAACCTCAAGGTTAGATTGAGAAACCCCGGAGTACGACAGCTCATAGTGGTGAGTCATAAAGCTATTGTTACCTTCCGCTATGTGTACAGATTTAAAGTCTTTGCTCCTATCCTTGTAAACACTCTGGCTTAGAATCAAGCTTTTTCTAGTTGAAGGACACAAATGAATTGATACCTTGAAGATAGTCTGTTAGCACCACAGCGTGAGGCACTAGTATATTGATAATATAACCACAGCTTAGAAGATTGCACACCCTCGAGAGAAGGGAACAAGCATGTTTAACTAGTGGAGAAGTGGCTCTCCATCACAGGTTGGGCTATACATTCTGGTTGAGAGATTTTTTGCTATAGGGTACTTGTACTCACTGGAAATTGAGACAGAAACCAAGAAAACACACCTCGGGTGGGATGGCCATGCTGTAATCCCTTCTCCATCTCCTCTCGGGGTTTTGGGCATGCATGCACACATGCTTGACCTGAGTTTCAAGCTACTGGGTCAGGAACTCAAACCACAATCGGCCATGTGAGGGTCCAGCACCATAACTACTTCACCACTGGCTAGCCCAACTGTGGATTCTCAATGACACCAGGAATGTTTAAGTGCACCTAAGGCAACTGGAACCCGATAGTATTCTCAGTCCAAAAGGAGATTGCTGATCTTTAATTACACAGGGAGAATGTAACTAAATCCTTTTAGACTCTCAGGGAAGTTGTCTACCTAGTTGAATGTAATTTGAGTTAGGAAACACTCTGAAGCAGTAATGAGATTACTTTCTTAGGAAAGTTTGACTTTGTTTCAAGAGAAAAGGAAATTAGGCCAATGATCAATGGTAATAGCTTCCTGCCCCTTTCTCCTGCATGTGTAAGCGGAGGGAATAAGGGACATCAGACTCCGTTAAATGTACACTAGGGGCAGCCTCTAGTTAAGCCCCACTATTGAGTGCCAGAGGCTTCAGGTATGAGACAATGGATCACGCCAGAAAAAGTCACACGACAGGAACCAAGTCCTAAGTTTCCCTATTTGTGTCCATCTGGGCCAAAGCCTGCCCAGAGTCTCATGGATAGTCTAAAGATTAGATGAGATGGCATTAAATAATCTTAGTCATTCTTTTTTTTTTAATTCCTGAGAAAAATTTTTGCTATAGGGCTCATGTGCTTGCTGTAGAGGCAGAGAGCGTAAAAGCAAGAAATCACTTCCAAGGGAAGATGGCTGTGCCGCAATCTCTTCTCCATTCTCTTCTCAGGATCTTGGCGGTGTAAGCACACAAGCCTGGCCTGAGTTTTAAGTTACCGAATCCAGGACTCAAACTACAGTCAATTATATGGAAATTCAGTGACAGAACCATTATACCATCTTCTGGTCCCAATGCTATCTAAACTTTATTTTATTTAACTTTATTTTAATTTGACCAGAGAGGAACAGAGAAAGGGGGGGCGGGGGGCAGAGTGAGAAAGCAAGCTGCCAGGTCCAGGACTCAAACTGTGGTCAGCCATGTGGGAGCCTAGTGTTCTTAACCACCATGCCACCACCCGGCGCCCATCTAATCTTAATAAGGCAGAAAGCAAGATATTTACTTCAACTACTTTATTTGAAAGTGATTTAGTGATTTAATGTCCTGGTTCTTCTCTTGGATCGGTAAAAGATGAGGCCTAGAACTGCCACCACACCTACCAAGGCTGCCACAGCCACCACTGATTTAGAAGCAACATCTCCAGTAGTTCCATGCCCTGTGGAGGGGTCAGCAACATCTGGGAAGACATTTGAGTATTAAGATGTTTAAATCGTAAGGAGAAATTGAAGTAAAAATTCTTACATAGTGATGCTGTAGAGAGGAAGAGGAGATTAAGCCCCAGTGAACTTCTTTTGGAAGTTTGCAATAGGGTGTAACTTTACTCCAAAAGCCAACATCTCCCTCCCAGGCTCTGCTTCATTCTTCTTTCTACTTGCTTCTACCAACCTCAAATAAGAAGGGCTGATACCTGGAGAAACCTTAAAGTCTTAGCATCAAGGTGCTGCATCAAACAGGCTAACAAACAGGATTAGCCACCCTTTGGATAGGTGACCTCACAGGTTGGAGATTTAAAACAGCTAAATTTCAAAATTTGGGCCTGAAAGTTGAGACTGTCTGGGGTGAGGATAACAGGAACACAATCTAACATAGTTTGATAGCAGGAAGTTAAAGCTGTTTTCCAGTTAAGGATTTTTGTCCGGTCTTGAGCCGTCAACAGGTTCATGTACCTACTATTTGAACAGAATCCTAACCTGTTTCCTGGCGTTTAAGCAAACTTTTAAGCAAAGTTCCTTAGCATTTCTTTGATTTGTTAAAGTTAAAACTGCTTTTCTTGAAGTTACCAGCTGAACTTGTTATTGAAAAGTAGTTAGATTACTTAAGAAATGGTGTGATCAATAAAATGTGGGGGGCGGAAAAGGAATGGAAGACAACTGTTGACACCAGAGATAGTGTGGGAAGATGGTAGAAAAGGACAGAGGGTCAGAAATAGGGGACATATGTATATATATATGTTTTATTTATATATACATATATATAAAACTAGAAGTGGAAAATCATTGATAACATGCATGATTAAGCCACTATGCAGTATATTCTGGATGGGAAATCACATTTTGTATGCTGCGATGATGCTTAGAGAATGAATGTAAGTTAAAAAAGTGTTTAGGAAAAGAAAAGCTCATGGAAATATGTGTAATAGGAAAACTAAGTATGAATTTCAAGACATTTTTGTACTAAATTTATATTGTAATTGTAAAATAAAAGATATGTGCCTTTTGACCTATCAATCCTACTACTGTAGAAACATGTCCTGAGTTCTTGTATGATAGGAAATGATTTACAGTTCTAGTATGACATCAAGGACAAGACTGAAAGTAATCTAAATGTCCATGAATGACCACAGCTAAGGTGGAATGGTGTTAGCAGTGAGATCAGTCCCTTATGCACTAATAAGATAGCTAGAATAAGCAAGTAAGCAAGTAATAAAACATTCCCAAGGGGAGTGTTAAAAAGGGATTTCTAGGGACCAGAGTTAGCGTAATAGCTATGTCGCTGAACTCCCATGTAGTTGACCACGGTTTGAGTCCTGGACCCAGTGGCTTAAACTCATGCTGGGCATGTGTGCGTGTGTGCCCAAGGTCCCGAGAGGAAAATGGAGAAGGGATTGTGGAGTGGCCATCCCCCCTGGGGGGTGATTTCGCGCTTTTTGTTTCTGTCTTTCTGGTGAGCGCACACACCCTATAGCGAAAATCTCTATTAAAAAAAAAAATAGAAAAGAAAAAAAAAGGATTTCTAGAAAAGAGACCTAAGGCTATCTCTGGGAAGGGAGACTGTCTTATTCTGTTTAAATTTACCAGGAGCATGTGTTATTTATGTGTAAATGTTAATCTCTTGGCATAAAGAGCTAAGAAATCGAGTTGGGGAAGCACCCCAGGCTTTAAACCCATACCTCTGAATGAAGAGCCATCTTCCAACAGAAGAATGGGTCCTGGGAGGCTGACTGTCATTTTCTGTTCGCCAGTGGCCCCTATGGTTAAAGGCAAAAATTGTGGTGGTTTGACCTCTAGAATAGTGGTTCAAGAGGAGTGTCAATGGAATACTGAAAAGCAGACATTCTGTGGGGTATCATTCCTTCATGTAGTTTCACCTGCCTTTGCAGGCAGGATGGATGCTCAAATAACTTGTACATAGAACTAGACAAAAACCTGTCCACCTTGGATTCACCATTTTGCAGACTTGGTTAAAAAGATGTTTCTTGGTCTCTTGGGAACCAAGCAAAGAATGAATTATGACTAAGAATAAGTTATACCTATCCTTGAAGTCTTCAGTTCTGGAAGGTTGGGGCTTACTTTAAGACTCACAGCAACAGAAGTTTGAAATGTTTACCTCGCCTGTGCCTAGGTGACACGGGGCAAGTCACAGAACACAGAGGGGAGTCAGGGGAGAGTTGGTTGCAAATCAAGGCGCTGCAGTGGAAGTAGACCTGGAGATGAAAGATTAGAGTTAAATGGAGTCAGTACATTCCATTTTTCCTATTTTGACGACTTCTTAATCACTTACCAGGCTAGAGAGACCTTCGGCCTCTGGTACAAAAGTAAAGGTCTTCACATCAAACCTCTGATAGTGATAAGGATGGGTCACAGAGGAGCCAACTGGATGGAAAGTAGTTTGGTACTTATCCAGGTTGTATTCACAGCTAGGAGGAAAACACAGAAAAGTAACATTAATTCCATGTTTCCCAGAGTCTAATTCAATGTTTTCCTAAATTAGTAGGAAACACCTTTGGTTCTACCACTATATCTGCTTTCTACTAGGAGTTTTAGTTTAATAGACTTCTTTCTGAACTGACCTCTCCAATAATACCCATAAAGTCATGGGTTATATATGACAGGTATTTATCTAGTACATAGAGAAACCTATGTTTGCCAACTCGACTCATTGGGATGTACAAGTTGAGTGTATCACTTCCAAAGACACCGAGCTTTTTCCACTAACGAGTGTTCATTATCTCTCAGGTAGTATAATGACACAAAAGTAGAAAATCCCTGCTATTCTATAATTTTATATGCCAACAGGGGGTGATGCTCTAAAGAACGAAGCATGTTAGGTGGCAAGTACCAAGGAAAGGAGAGTCAGAGCAAGCTTCATGGAGCAGGGACACACTTGAACAACTCTTTAATGAAGTAAAGGCATGAGCTGCAAGAACACACTGGTTACACTTGGTTCTGAGGCAGGAGTGTACCAGGAGGTTAAAATCTTAAGAGACTGCCATAGTTTCAAGAATACAAAGGTGCAAACCACGGGATAGGACGCTGCAGGTAGAGCTGGGAGAACAAATTCCCGTGTACAAGAATGTGTATATAATCAGCATTGTAGTACTCAGGTTGGAAAGTCAAATAGGTATATTAATCCCAGCTCCACTAAGTATTGCTTTGGGTTAGTTATTGAAGCAGTAAGCTTAGGTTTAAGGTGATCAATGTGTCCTTTTTAGGGTGATGAGGCTCAGATAATACTTGTAGAGTATATTACACTCTGACTAGAATAAGATTTTTTTTAGCAGGTGAATAGGGACTAGAGGTCAAATTTGTCTCCAGATAATAAAGTCAGATTTCCTTTGAGGAAAATTCTATTTAAGATTTAAGAGCTATAGGAAGATGAGTCATCTGATTAGGTCAATGGTCAAATACTAAAAAACAAGGAGTGAGTCAGGGTCTTCAGAGTGCCCCTTTGAAGCCCAAGGGAGTGTGTTTACTCACCACTGGCAAGTTCTGATGGATTAGCTGGTCAGTCTTATGATCTGAAGAGTACTTACCCATCCACAATGATATTCCACTGAGGAAGAGAAGCTGGGTCCATGGTAGATGTTGCCCAGCAGTCATCTAAGACCAGCTTGATGTTGGGGTCATTCCTGTTTAGGATTTTCACTTCCATGTAAATTGGTTGGCGAAGGTATCTCACAATAGGGTATTCATTTGCTTCATGAGGTTGTTGGTAAGAGTTATCTAAAATGGAATGGAAACCTCTTCAGTGTTTAGATAGCAAATGGTTGCCTCAGACGTAAGTGCTAGTACAGCTCCATTGGGCTGGGAACAGAAAGTTTATCTTAGTAACAAATTTCTAAAAGTACATATTTAAGCTAACTTCTTAGCGATGTCTCACCTGGGTAGGTTTGTAGGATCAAGGCAAGTGGACCTGGCTTCATTGATGCCACTGGAGGAGGAAGACTTTTGACGTTGGCATTCAATAACATGTCATCTCTGTTGTAATAGCACTTCACCGTCATTCTGTAAGAATGAATGTGTTGGGAGACATTAAATTGTTTGAATTGAATCTACATGAAATTGTTTGAACTGAATCTAGAGTTTAGAAAGTGAAGTGGCAATTTTATCACACCTGAATTCACTATCTCTGGATATCTTGCTTGGTGGAAGATCCATCCAGAGGGCATGTATTTCATTTTCATAGATGACTTTATCATTCTCAAACTTAAATGTTGGAGAAAGTTGGTTAATAATCAGTTTCTTTAAAGTCTTAACCACTTACAATCTGCCCATACTAACCTTACGTCTTGTTCCACATCCATTCAGAGGTATGTGAAATAGTACCAGCCCCTGAGATTGAGCCTTGAAGACAGGTTGGCAGGATGAGTTTCCCACCCTGAGGGTACCCAAGTCGAGAGCTGGTTTTGTTTGGTGGCTGTAGACCTCGAAGTTCATAAACCCATCCTGCGCACACAGCTCACTTGTTACTAGGCAGCAGTAAAAGTTTAGAAAAAAAAAAAACATAAGTTTGTCAGCCACATGATATTGTCCTCTACCAGCCTTGAAATATTATGAGGGAAAAAAATTAAATTCTGGTGCCTCCTGCCAAAAGTTATCTTTAACATTTGGGAAAATACCTTGATAAGCAACTTGAGTTACAAAGGGAATCTTATGCAACAGTTAAGCTGCTCTGTACGAGAGCACCCAAAGGATCACAAAAGACAGGGAAAGAAGTGCCATTGGGATCACCAGACTCCCTCAGCACTGACTACGGTTCGGGCCCTGGACCTAGCAGCTTAAAACTCATGCTGGGCGTGTGTGGGCCTGCCCAAAATCTCTAGAGGAGAATGGAGCATGACCATCCTCCCTGAGGGCAATTTCTTGCTTTCTGTCTGTCTCTCTGGCAAATGCACACATGCTAGAGAGAAAAAAAAAAATCTAAAAGAGGTCATATAAAGTGAGACCAATAAGACCTCAATAAGGTGCTAAAGTGATTTGAGATCAGACTTAAAGTGGCTTTATGTATTACAAGGGAGCTTCAAAGAGTTGATGGAGAGAGGGAATGAGAGCACGAGTTTGAGTACACAGGAATTTTGAAGTCCATTAATTTTCATGCTATGTATTTTCTGTGAGCTTTTTGAAGATCTCTTCCTTAGTATCTTGTGTTATGGTGTCCCTTCTTTCAATACACATAAATCCTGAGTGGCTTGGGGGAAACTGAGGCAGGAACTCCCCTGCATGACTTGATCTGATGTAGATCAAAATAAGCAGAAGTCTAGGGGCAGAGGCAACACTGAAGCTTAGTTTCATTCCATATTCCTTTGGAGAATCTGTAGAAAGCCTTCTAGCCTTTGATGATACTCCAAATTAGGTATTTGAGGTATTCTTACCTAACCCAAAAAGTCCTGATGACTTAAACATGAAACAGTGAGACCTTCCCATATGGAGGTCTTGAAAGTATTATACTTGGGGTCCCATAATCACAGCTAGACTGATGCTCCTGATCTGAAGTGTCTTTAGTTTCTAAAAGCCCTGAGCAATACAACAGAATCTGAGCTTCTTTCCATTTTTCCACATGCACAAGAACAGCTAAAGGAGAAAAAAGTAGAATCAGTATCAATGAAAGAGCTTTACCTATGGAAATGGCTGACTCACAGAGACATTCAGGATAAATCACCATGGATACCAACTCCCGTTGAAAGTAAAAGGTCAGCTGCAGTGAAGGTAAATAGAACTGGTAGAGTAGGCATTTTTCAGAGAACTGAAATGAAAGAAGAATGTCAATTAGCAGCCACAGCCTGTCTGGGGCCCAGAGCATTCAGAGAGGCAAAACGGAAGTCCACTGAATACTAGCAGAGCATATTCCAGACTTATCTGGTTTCCCTTTAAGCCAAAACAAGAGATCCTATCAGTTCCCTGGATCAGGATGCTTCCCTAGGCAGGAAATTTATTGCTTTAAACCCATGCCCTGAGGTACACGGGCCTGCACTTTCTTTATAGCAGGCACTAAAGCTCGAGTTAACAGATCAAATTCCAAAGAACAGTGGAGTACCCTGCCAAGTGAGGTCTGAGTCAAAGGACTCTACAGATGTTGCAAAATTCTAGCGCAGGACAGCCAGACCCCAGTATAATTATTCTCTTGTGTTGCTGGCAGTTGCCTCAGTCAATACCGGCCTCAAGGTCTGAGACTTGTTTGGATCAAACCATTTTATTCTTCGAGCAAAGGAGTTTATCATTAGACATTGGACAAATAGTTTATAATATTTAAAACGAGAAAAACTTAGGGAAGTTTCCTTTGCAGAGGTTAAAGAGGTTTGGTATTAGAGTGAACTTTAGTTACTTGAAAATTCACTTGTGCAAAACTGATCAAATGAGGCCATCTAACATTTGATTCTGTCTGTGGTGCCGGCATGGCATTATGGGCATGTCACCTGCTCTATCAGGATTACCCACGAGAATGTTGAAATCAGGCCTTCATAGCATTTAGTGTTTGATACGGAGCATACTTTTGTTTTAAGGAGAGCTTTGTGGAAATGCAGTCTCAAGCCATTTGTCTCTTCTATATCAATTCCATTGTCATGCAACTGGCTCACAGCAATGTTCTGATTTCCAATGTTCACAGACTTTAGCTTCCCGGGAAACTCTGGTATGGTAAGAGTCATGTGTGTGGCATTACAGGCCACAGGATCTGAAAGGCATGAGCAACAGAACGCCCATTACCATCTTGATTAAACCCCCAGAACAATGTTTCTCACAACTGAAGTTGTAGCTTCCTGGGGCCTTACCTGGCATACAAATAGCTTGTGATGAGAAGGTAATCACCTGCCCAGGAGATGCAAACTTCAGCTTCAAAAACACTGCATAGAGGTGACTGTTACCTTGCTGGAGAAACAGTATTTTCAGATACTGGTTGACTTGAATTTCTGATCAATAATATTCATTGAGGCAGGCATTTTCAAGTATCGGGCACCATTTCGGCATAAACAGTTTACGCATATTGTCCACTGACTGTTCAAGAGGAACTAGAGCCTTAATCTTGTCCTCTGTAGCATTAAGACTAGGACCTATAGCTAATTTTTTCTAGGCAAGTAGAAGATGGCATTATTTCATGACTTTTATCATAGAAGCAGTGATGTTTACAAGATTCCGAAATTTGCTTATATTTGATATGAAATATAGCTTATTGTTAAAGTGACTGATACTTGAGTACTTATGTGTCAAAACCTGTCTTAAGTATTTAAATAGATCAGGTAAATTAATGTTATTTTAACCATTGGCCCAGAAAGCAACAATACCTGCTATAAAATAGAGGACAATGGCAACTCAGAACACCTGAGTTCGTGAGGCTGTTCAGAGTACCCTTGTTCTGGACTAGCAGATAGTATGGTGGTGAAGGTATTGGACTCCCACATGGCCATCCATGTTCAAGTCCTGGGCCTGTTTTCTGTCTGTCTCAAGCATGTGTCCTATAGCAAATTAAATTTTTTTTTTAAAAGTATTCTTGTTCCCTTAGATTTAAGTCTAAGGGAAAGGGGGAGAATGGATTAAGAGCACCATATCTGTTTTTTGTTTGTTTTCAATCATGTCTTTAGTACTCAAGTGAAGTGTTTGGCATATAACAGACATTGCAATACTTGCTGAATGAGTTGTGCTGTTAGTTTTAAAACATGGTTGAAATCATGCTTGGATTTAGGGATATTGGTCTGTACCTTGGGGGTGGCGCAGAGATTCACACCTACCATGTAATGAATCACGCCAGTGGTATTAAATGGCACATGGAAGATCATCTTCTGGTTGTCAACATGAAGACCTAATCCTTGTGCCAGGGCTTCCCTCAGGGGTATCCTTTGTGTTCTCAGACCAACACCAATCTCAACCTTCCATCCCATCCGAGATGTGTTCTAAAGGCAAAAGGTTTAGAAAGTGGAGTTCATTCAACTCTAAAACAACTATAGCCTATTTAATGTTTCATAACATTAAAATTAGTGGGGCCAGCAGATGTGTTCTAAAGGTAAAAGGTTTAGAAAGTGGAGCTCATTTAACCCCAAAACAACTACAGCTTATTTAATGTTTCATAACATTAAAGTTAGTGGGACTGGCAGTTAGCATAATGGCTATGTTGCTGAACTCCCATGTGGTCAACCACAGTTTGAGTCCAGACCCAGTAACTTTAACTCACGCCGGGTACGTGTGCATGCGTGCCCAAGATCCTGAGAGGAAAATGGAGGAGAAGGGATTGCAGCGAGGCCATAACTCGTGGGGGGAAGGGGGGCGATTTCTGGCTTTCTGTCTCCTTGTCTTTCTGGAGAGCACACGTGCCGTATAGCAAAACTTCTCAAAAAAAAAAAAAAAAAAGAAAAAAAGAAAAGAAAAGATTTAAGTTAGTATCAGCTTTAACACAAGATTAATTCAATAAACTCTAACAAGTTACTTTCATACCCCAGGTTCGTCAGCAAAGCCAGAGAACATCCATGGAAAGGAGATCTGGAAGAAAAGAAAATCATGTGAGGCTTTCAATGGGAAGAAAGCTGAATTCATTCTACTTTAGAGTATATGGAAAATACCAAGGGTAGCTACTTGGGGTCGTTCCTACCCCAAGATACAGGTTTATGGTATGCAATAGGAAAAGCACAAAATTAGTCATGAATCCTGTGTGCTTTTCTCTTGTGAACTTCTGACATCAAAAGGCAAGTAGACTAAATTCCCTTGCAGTTTTAAGTAGATACATTGGGTTATTAAGTGTGCATAGAAATTAGGTACTATGAAAAGGCATGCAGTTTGTTATGATGAAGTATGAGTCACTTTTAGTTGTCCATTGTTGACGTTAGCCATATAAGGCTATGAGTTCCATGAAGATGTGATTTGTTTTTATTGATTATTTTTGTTTGCTATAGGGTATGTGCATAAGAGAGTGACACAGAGAAGGCAAGCTACCAGGTCCAGGACTCAAACTACAGTTGGCCATGTGAGAGTTTAGCACCTTAACCACAAGCTACTTGTTCACCTCTTTGTTCTTTATTATGTTTTAGAATATGGGCTAGGGCCTGAAGCATGGTAGGTATTCAGTTTGACAAGTAGTTAATACAAGTGCCTATTAATGCTAATGATTGTGTCCTTTACCAGGCACTGAGCTTACTATATATCCTCTCAGACAATTCATATGAGGTATTATTCCCTTACCTTAGACTTGGACACCAAAAGCCTCAGTGTGGTTAGAAAATTAACCTGTAGTCACACAGCAAAAAAATAGCTAATACAGGATTGAAATTCCACCCAATTTCACCACATTCCCTCTGAAATAACCATATAAGCAGTCAACCTGTTTTACTTACAGACACGGAATCATTTGTGCAGATTGTAGATCCTGAAATCCCATGGGTCTCTTCTACTTGCAGAGCTGGACAGAAGAAATCATATGTGCCAGCCTTGGGTCTCAAAGCAGTACTGTTGTTCATGAGTCTGATAGTCATCTTGTGCCCACCGTGCTGTGTACAGATAGCATAGTTAAAACAGTGGGAACAGGGCCAGCAGATAGCATGGTGGTTAAGTCACTGGGTTCTCATATAGCTGACTGGTTTGAGCCCCAGACCTAGTGTGTCTCTCACGAGCACATGTAAAAATTAAATAAAATGAAAGAAACAGCACAGTAGGAGTTGACTGCTCAGTGGGAAAGGCCACTACAGAACACCATCTGACACAGCTGAGTAGCAAAGTTACCAGGACTGTAAGTGCTAGAAGGTACCTCATTGCTACACCAGGAAACTAGCTAGTCCTCCAAGATATTTTAGAGAAGACTTGTGTTGACAGAACAATTGTAGTATCAGTCACTAGAGTTCCATTTTTTTTTTTTCCTAACCCTATGTTTGGGTATCATGGTCCTGGATGAATGGAGCCAGTATGGAACCGTTTATCAGGTTACTCAAATACTGGGTTGTTGGAAAAGTCATTACACATTTTTGTACAGAAAAAAAGAAAATACATTATAACTTTTCCGACAACCCAATACATTTACCAAGTTCCTAAATAGCAGCCCCTATGCTGTGTTCTGAGCAAAACTCACTTTGATTTTATCCCTTACTGTGTGTGGGTGGGGGGGTGGGTGCAGGGGCGAGGAGCAGTCTGAGGGGGAGAGTTTAAACACTCAGGATTTTCAGAAAGGATGCATGATTACTTCATTGGGAAATCAGAGTCTCAGAACCAGATGACTTACAGCTCAAGCCTGTTTATAAGATGTACCTGTACAAGGGTTAGACTGTAGGATACTTACAGAATCAGATGATATGGCCTGTTGACTATGGATTCCCACTATGCATCTTAGACTTACTATGTCACTTCAATCAATTAAGCCTATAGTTTCTCAATTTCCCAGGCGATTCTTTACACACTACAGCTTGGAAACATTTACTTAAGAAGGTTGCTCTTATCACTCCTAATAACCCTGCTTAGGAATACTGTCACTTGGCAATAGAGAACCCTTAGAGCTTAGCTACTGTGTGCTTTCTAACGCCTATTTTTACAGGGTAGTCGTTCTCCACTTGCTGACACCAAAATAACTTTCCATTTCATATGGGAGTTTACAGATCAAAATAGCTCGTATTTGAGTATTTGCTGTGTCTAGATTCTGTGCTAAGTCTTCATTTATATAAGAGGTTTTGAGTTACCCTGTGGAGAGTTTATTATCCTCATTTTTAAGGGGTAACTAGGCTTAGAAGTGTTAGATAGCTTGCTCACACTTAAACAGTGGCAAAACCAGGGCTAAAGGGCTCAAACACTGCAACTCCAGGATTTTTCAATCTCAACACTTCCGGCCTAATCATTCTTAGTTTTTATGAGACATGAGGAAGAGGGAAATGTATAACATAGGCTATCTAGCAGCATCTTGGCCTGGTACCCACTGGATGCCAGTAGCTATACCCTACTCTACTGATAACAAAAGGTCTCTCCTGGGCAGCTCAAGAGAAGCACATGCGTGCTTGTATACACACACACACACACACACAGAGGAACCATTGCTCTACCCCAAAGCCTCAACTGCCAGGTTACTACTTCCCAAAGCACTCCTCAAATAACTTACCACTCTCTGGGTACAGGTCTCATATGGGGCACTCAAGGTGAGCTTTTCTGAATCCAGGATATAAGTGCAGTTCCGCATTTCAAGACCAAGAGAATCTGCAGAAGCCAAAGTAGGTTAGACAGGGGATGGCTGAGAAGTAGGTTTCAGTAACAGTTGACCAAAGCTACAGAGCCAAGATTATCGGTTTACTTTTAAGGCACTTCAATCACTTCATTTTTGATCCAACCAGGTAACATAACTCAATGTCGAGATGTTGTAACTTACAGTCAGAAATCAGACCCTGTGAACTCACAGAAATTGGATGCCAGCTGATTCAAAATTTGGGTATTCTGCCCGTCAGACAAATGGGGTTGGCTTGAGCTTCCAAGGCTTTCTACTAGTTAGGACTAAGGTGAGATAACACGTTACTTACCCACCACAGTTGCATTCCATTTCTTGGAGCCAAGACTGCCTGGAAACTCTACTGTTATTCTAGTTTCATTGCAAAAGACGGTGCCTGGAGAACAAAGGAAGAGTTTGTACCTTTGAATTCAAGAGGCATAGTTCCCCCAGAAGTGAATGGGGAGGGCCTCCTGTCTGGGCACCAGGGGAAGATGCCAGTTGAGAAGAGCAAAGATTGTTCCTGACCTTGAGAGCTCATGAATTGATGAGGAAGACAAGACAACTACAATACAATAAAGTATAACTGTAAGGAAGGTGCCACTTGAGTGCCTAGGGCTTTCTGAAACCCTCCAGGGATAAATCAGGATTAGAACAAATCAGCATTTCTGTAGAAGTCAGGCCAGAACCTTGACAAGAGAGCCAATGGAAGTGGAGATGGTAGGGTATAGAATCTGAGAACCAAAGGACAAAGCTTATCTACGGATTCTTCAAATTGACATAATGATAAAGAAAGCCCTGGGGAAGTCCAAGGGTACCCTTTGTCAGGGGGTGCACTCATGTTACTGGAACACAGGGCATCTCTTCCCCCATGGGGAGTGGTCATGCCACAATCCTTTCCCCTCTGCTTCTCTATCCTGTTGGGATTTGGGACACACATGCACATGTACCTAGCATATTTGTTCAAGCCACTGGAGCCAGGATTCCTACTACCTGTGGGATCTAACTCCCTTAACCACTAGGCTATAGCAGCCCCCACCACCACCAAGGAAACTTTATTTAAAATAAGTTCTGCCTATGACTTGCCACTCTGCAACCTCTGGCTCAGGTGAGTCTTGGAAGTACTTCCTTTTTCAAATGGAATAGCTTGGGCTGGCCCAGTAGCACAGTGGTTAAGCACTGTGTGTAAGGAGCTATGTCTCACTTGGTGGACTCCAGATGGAATCTCAGGCAGCTTTCAAAATAGACTGGCCATGTGAACATGCATGCCCCAAATGCTGACAGATGGAGAAACAATAGGAATTATGGCCTAACCACACCCCACTGGGGAGTGCTTTCTCTCTCTGGGGAATGCATGTACCCTCTGGCAATTGAAAAAGAAAAATAAACAGCTCTGGTTTTATCTGTTATGTTAATGCTATCCTTAAGTTCGAGTTTGTATTTGAAGATTATTGCCCCTAGAGGAAGGGGGTGAGTGTTGAGGTTTGTTGTTCTGTGGATGCCATGAAGCTTGAGGCAGTGAGAGAATGAGCCATAGTGCACGTGGTTTTTTTTTGTTTTGTTTTCTTCAAATTCTGTCATTTAACTGGAAATAGCAAGCCCAAAGGTAAGCAGGAGAAAGATTTGGTGACTCCATCAAGGTAACGAGGTGGATGAGAGGAGATTGTCTGACCTAGGTCTGTATTTCTGGGCTGGCTAGGCACTCTTGCTGCAACTGGTTCTCTATGGTAAGGGGACTTTCTTCACCCAAGAGGCATACCTGGGAAAGCAGGACTCTCCAACTGATGAATGCCCTTTGAGTTCACTGAAGTCAGAAGGGCGAAGAAGAGAGACAATGACCTGTAGGTGCTGGAAGGAGAAGAGAGTTAAGGAAGAATGAACTAAAACAAACACAGCTGTTGAATCCTCTCTCTGCTCCGAGAATTACTCACCTCCAACCCGTATTGAACCAGCTTGGGGGAATCCCAGAATCTCCTCTCTGCCTACACGCCATGGCAGAAGGCACCACCAGACGAACCTGGTAGAGGATGGAATGCTCTGTGCTTTTATAGCAGGAAGTAGGCTGTGACCACACCCTCTCCCCACTAGGGAGACACCTGACTCTCCTTCTGCCCCCTCAGCTGAGAGGTTGAAATTTGGGAAAGAAGTGGCATCTGCTCTTCCTGCCACTTGCCTTAGGGATTCTGTCAGCTGCTCTATGGGCCAGTAAAACCAGAGCTCCCTAAAATTGGCTCCAGGTGAGAGAGTTACTATTCCCATAGCTTTGGGGAAGAATTAGAATCTTTTGGACAAGATATTTACAACTCCAATGTAGAATGGAAAAGGGTGGTGGCCTTTATTAAAGAAAGGGTTTATCCTGTTCATGTCACTGAACTTGACCTTTAAGTAACCCCTAGTCTCCTGGCAATTGTGGAAGTTGTCCTGGCAATGAGCATGAAGAATAAAAGTTTAAGCTGGCTGTAAAAAGGCAGAAGGATACAGAGAAAAGTTAAAAGTCATCTATTATCTTGCCACTGCTACTACATAGGTATGTAACTTTATAGACATTTTCTACAAACACCACACACAGTAAAAACAAAACATGACTTTTACAAGTCTTGATATCTCCATATTAAACCTGAAGATCTTGATTACCATTTTGAAGACTGCACCGTATTCGGTGCTAAGATAAATCAGTGTCTATTTAATTGTTCTTTAATGATGGCCTTTTAAGATTGTTTCCAAATTTTCATCATTATAAAAAATAATTTATAAATAATTTAGTAAATAGATCCCTGGATAACTCTTACCATAAATTCTGAAGTAGAATTTCTGGGTTAAAGGACATCATATTTTGTAGCATTTGAGAGTTTACAGATGGGGAAACTGAGGTATAGCAATTTTCTCAAGCTTAAACAGCTATGTTAGGGCCAGGTTGAGAACTTAGATTTCCTCAGTTAATCAACATGCCTTTTCAGCATCTTGCATTGAGATGTCTTCAGCCCATGATCCATAATAGGTAAATCTAGTGCCCAAATTCGGTGCACGTGTTCACATATTAACTTATGTATTACTATTGTGGCATAATAATTCTGCTACGGGCACCTGAAATACCACTGTAGAATAGTATTTCCCAAGCTCCCTTGATCAATAGGATAACATGGGGCTCTCATTTAATATCACAGATTCCTGGGTCCTACCCAAATGTTGCTGTATCAGACCCTATAGGTGAGGAACTGGGTAATGATTGCTTAACAAGCACTACGGGTGATTCCTATGATCAGGAAGATACTGGAGGGAGAGAGACAAGGAAATGAGTGACAGCTTGTGATTAAAGATGGGTATCAGCAGGGCCAGCAGGTGGTATAGTGGTTAAGGAGGCCCTGGACTCACACATGGTTAACCAGGGTTTGAATTTGAAACCTGGCAGCTTGCTTTCTTACTTTCCCTGTCTTTCTGGTGAGCACACTAGCACTGTAGCAGATTTTTAAAATAATAATAAAGTAAATAATTCTTAAAAAAAAAAAAGATGGGTATTAACCAATTCGGTTGTGTCCTAGTGGAATGGGGAGAGAATGTAAAAAATAAACAAACAGGTTTGGGAGGATAGAGATGGTTTCAGAGCAGAAGCATAATAGCAGTAGTTTATTCCTGCTAAGCACATTTCTCAAATAGTGAAACCTTTTCTACAAATGTGAATGTGCTACCATAATGGTCTACAATGACAAGATGTTAGAGGAAGATGCATGGACGCAAGACTCAGAAACCAAATGAGGAGGTGGTCAAAGAGGGAATAGGTTAAATAGTTATTCAGACTTCCTGGGCCTTCAGCTTCCTCACTCCTCCTTCAGAATGTGCCTTTTTTCTACAGTGGGAAGCTTTGATCAGAAAGGGTACCTTTGGCCACAGCCCTAAATTGAGGACTCCTCGGAAGCTAAGGAATAGCACTAGAGGCCCTGAGCAGGAACATGGAGGGCAGGTCCACTGGGGCTGGTGAAAGAAGTGCATACATCAGAGATTTATTAGCCTCACCCCACCCAGGCCAGTGCTCTGCTTGTGACAACCACTGAACGATTGGCTCCAGCCTGTAACAATCAATTTCTAGGGATCTGCTCTAGAAAAACCAAGCATAAATGTCCAGATACAAATGGCTTTGGTAATGAAGAAAGGATTGCTCTATGGTAAAACAGGGTCCCCTATCATTAGGTAGAAAAAAGTAAAGTCTTTACAAAAATAATAAATTCTTAGAATTTTCCTAAAGGAATAGTGGGATCAAATGTAAGTTTTCCATACTCTTCAATAAGCACTTTTAAGTTTGCTAATTTATGACTATAAAGTGTTACTTCTCTTCTCGGAATGTCCTGATCTCTGAGGCCACAGCTCACCTACTAGTCACAAGACATTTCTTCAAGGGAGTTTTAGGTACTTCTTATATGTATATATATTTTTAAAATGCCTGTACGTTTTGTTGTCTCACTTTAAGCAGGTGTCCTTCCCTTACTTTCTAAAATATAGTACTTATAAACAACGATTCGCAACTCTTAAATTCTGAATATGCTCTTATTTTTCACAACAGTTATAGGAGTTGAAGACAACCTAAATGTCATCATCTGGAGGTGGTTACATAGACCATGGAATACTCTTCAGCTGCTAAAAACGGTTTCTGTAGTTTCATGCAGATCTATAAATGCTGCTATGAAAGATGTGAACAATAAAATTGCAATTTCAGAGTTGTATAGCTAGTATATGTTCATGCGTTGGTTTAGAAAAAGATGAATGAAAAACCTGTGTGCATGTCCATACATTCATATGTCTGTATGTGCATATATAAGTGTGCATTTGCATTGAAAGTCTAGGAGGTACGTGAAACAATTAACAACATCACCCAGGGAAGGAGGTACAACAGTGTTCAGGTTATCCATGTGACTGGGCTAGACGCTGTTCATTCCAATTTGTTTGTGTTCTTGCTCTACTTGCTTTAACTACAATTTCATCCCCAGAATAGAAATAAGGAAATGGCAGAATGGGTGGCTTCTGTTTTGTTTTGTTTTTTTCTCTACTTTATTCATGTCTATTTTAATTAAATTGGTTTAGTGATTAACCAATAAAAGTAGTTTCAAAATGCTAACAACAACAATAGCAGAATATCTGATTTCTGTCTGAGTGATCTACAGAAGCTGTGGAATCACAGGCTCATGAGTCAAAACTCAGTGATATAAAGGTATAATGTCCAAGGGAATGGATTTGAAACATGAGACTTCCAAAGGCCAACTCCTTTTATAAACTGAAGATATTCATTCTTCATTACCAAAGACTTGCTCATGGTCATTTACCCAGCCAGTGGCAGTTAGAGGTCCAATGAGAAATCTGATCTCCCCATGCCGCCCCTCACCCTAATTCATTTTTTCTTTTCCTTTTTTAGAATTATCATTTTTAAAATTTAACTTTATTTTTTTTATTTTAATGACCAAAGAGAGAGAGTGAGAGAGAGAGAGAGAGAGAGAGAGAGAGAGAGAGAAAATGAGAAAGCAAGCCTCCAGGTCCGGGACTCGAACCTCAGTCAGCCATGTGGGACTCTAGTGCCTTAAACCACCAAGCCACCTGCTGGCCCCCTCATTTTTATTTTCCATGTGTGTATGTATGAGGGGGGCATTTTAAAAGTCTGCACTTCTCTTGTAGTTCACTCAGCGTTAAAACTACAAGATGATGTTAATTAGAATTTAGCAGTATAAAATAAATAAGAAATACAGAAACTTCTAACAGTTATGCTGCTATAGCTTAAAATAGAATTCACATATTAAATATGAATTTGACTTGGAAAAATAACAAAGACTATATCAGTGAGAATGTTCTTGAACATCATATGGCAGTTATCTTCACATGGAACTATACAACGCTAATGTCATTTTCTCCTTTGGGCCTTTAGACAGATCCAAGTTAGATGAATCTTCTAACAGTAATGCATACAGAAAGAATAAAGGTTTAATCACCCTTTATATAAAGAAAGAATGACTTCCACGAATGGATGAGAGAGCTGCCGGTTCATCTTATTGGCATGAGGCAGGCTCAGAGGTGAACTTGCAGCTTCTCCAGTTCCCTCCAGTTCACTTCCTTCCACTTTTCTGGATCCTGGGCCAAGTGCATGTACAGCTCTGTGGTCAAAGATAGCAGCCTATCCCATAGACACCCGCATCACTGAGGCTGGAGACGATGTGAAGCAGACATAGGGTTCATTCATTTCATTCTCCTGAGTTCTAATTTTTCCTTTCTCCTCACACCTTTTTTTTTTTTTTTTTTTGAGAGGTTTTGCAATTTTTTCGCTATGGGCACATGTGCTCACCAGACAGACAGAGACAGACAGAGAAACAGAAAGCGAGAAATCACTCCCCAGGGGGGATGGCCATGCTGCAATTCCTTCTCCTCCATTCTCCTCTTGGGATCTTAGGCATGCATGCACACGCACCTGGCTTGAGTTTTAAGCCACTGGGTCCAGGACGCGAACTGTGGTCAACTACGTGGGAGTCCAGCGACATAGCCATTAT